AGACACCCTTGTGAGGTGGGTGGGGCTGAGAGAGCTCTTGACAGAAACGGCTCTTTTCCAAGAACAGCTCTTATCAGAGCTACGGCTTGCGCAAGGTCATCCAGCCAGGTGCAAGTGGAGGAGTGGGGAATCAAACCCGGTTCTCCCAGATTAGAGTCCGCGCACTTAACCACTACACCAAACTGGCTCCAGGGTCTCAGGCAGCCTACTGCCTGGTCCTTTTAATTGGAGTTGCAGGGGATTGAACCTGGGACCTTCTGCATGCCAAGCAGAGGCTCTACCAATGAGCCACAGCCATTCTTTAAAGCTCTCCAGGGTCTCAGGTAGAGGTCTTTCTCCCATCACCTACTGCCTTGTCCTATTAACTGGAGATGCCCGGGATTGAACCTGGGGCCCTCTGCATGCCAAGATGCGGTTCTACAGCTGTCACAGCCCCTCTTTACAGCTCTCCTGGGTCTCAAGTGGAGGTCTTTCCCATCACCTACTACCTGGTCCTTTTAAGTGGAGATATCGGGCATTGAACCTGGGACCTTCTGCATGCCAAGCAGAGGCTCTACCACTGAGCCACAGCCCCTCTTTGCAGCTCTCCAGGGTCTCAGGCGGAGGTCTTTCCCATAACCTACTGCCTGGTCCTTTTAACTGGAGTTGCGGGGGATTGAACCTGGGACCTTCTGTATGCCAAGTAGGGGCTCGACCACTGAGCCACAGCCCCTCTTTACAGCTCTCCAGGGTCTCAGGCAGAGGTCTTTCCCATCACCTACTGCCTGGTCCTTTTAAGTGGAGATAACAGGTATTGAACCTGAGGCATTCTGCATGCCAAGCAGATGCTCTACCACTGAGCCATGGGGTCCAATTCTTTGAGCCCAAAAAGAAGGTGCCCTCATCCATTATTTCCAATTGAGGGAAGGCATTTAAAAAGAACGTAGCCCCTTTAAATGCAATGGCCAGAAGTCGCTTTGGAGTTCAATTGCGCATCTTCCTTCCCCTCTCCTGGAACCTCCTGTTAAGTCCCCCACCTGCTTGTCGACCTCACCTGGCAACCCTATCATCTGGAGGGCCAATCACAGGGCATACAGGCCAAGGCCTTCCCCTGATGTTGCCTCCTGGCTCTGGGACTCAGAGGCTGACTGCCTCTGAATGTGGAGGTTCCCCTCAGTCACCATGCCTAGTAGCAGTTGATAGACTTATCCTCCACGAATCTATCATCATAATTGTGGTGCCACCACCAGTGAGGCCTGCTTAGGAGACTAGGAATTTGCTTTCTTCAGTGGAAAGGTCCCAAACGAACAAGTTTGCCCTACAAGCCCCAATTCACACTGCCGAGAGGACGGATTCCTTGCATGAACAGGGGCATCCACAAGGAGAGGAAAACCAGCCTTAATCCCACAGAGCCTCCGATGCGGGGGTGCTTAATTCCACCAACCGTCTTCCAGTTACGAGATTAGTTAAACCCGAGCTGTTCTTCCGCAGCTGCTCTGCTGCTCTCCAGGCCTGGTGTACGACAAGCACAGCACTTCTCTGCTTAAAAAAAAACTGGGCCAATTCTCTTGGCCAAGAGCAAGTCCTTGGCCCTCGTTGACACGGAATGAGGCTCAGTGCTTCGTCAGCTGGGATGGCTCAAACGGGCAGCCCTCCCCTGGCAGTTAAGAGGGCTGGAATGGAATTTGCTCTCTCTGCCTCTCTGCCTGCTGCATTTCCCAAACAACCTGCCGCTGATGGAGCAACCGTTTTTCAGATCTGCCATTTGCTCTCTGCTTGACAGAGGTCATGAGGACAACGCTCAGTCTCTTGACTGCGGCTGAGCATGCCTGCGAACGAGGCATTTATATACCTACCTACTCTGCTTGTATCGAGGACTGCCAACCTCAGGTTGGGAAATTCCTGGAGATTTGGGGGGGGTGGAGCCTGGGGAGGACAGGGTTTCAGGAGGGGAGGGACCACAGGAGGGTATAACGCCACAGACCCCACCCTCCAAAGCAGCCATTATCATCATGATGATATTTATGAATCACTCAACCCCTGCCACAGCAGGGCTCTGGGCGATGTACAAAAACCACAGAGCAAAACAAGATAACATGAGTGAAAACATTAATGAACATTTGAAACAGTCAGATGGCGAATAATTAACCAATCCCAGTTCCAACTGCCGGTTACTTCGTGGACGGGGGGTGGGGTGGGGGAGGGCAAGGTAGATGTAAATAGCAGAGAACAGAGAAGGGTGCTGGCCAAGGTGGAACCATCACTGCCTCAACCAAAAGCCTGGCGGGACATCTCTGCCTTGCAGGCCCTGTGGAATTGGCAGAGAGTTCCACTGGGAGACAGGAAGTGACGCTGGGCATTTTGGGGCCTACTTCTGATTTCAGGCCTACTTTGGGGGTGACACTCCGGTTTTTGGGCAAAACTCTATAGTAAATTGGGCTTCAAACCGGAGAGTTTTGCACAAAAACCAGAGTGTCACACTTAGGATTGCCACTCTTTGTTTTCCCCTCAAATGGCATGGCTCCGCCCCCAGTGTGCGACGTCACTTCCGGGTGACGCGCACGCGGGGGTGGGGTTTCCCCCAGGCCCGATTTTCATCCCATCGAAAATCGGGCCGTCAAAGCGGGGGATTCCCCGCCCCCCGGCCCGATTTGGGAACCCTAGTCACACTTGACCAGAAGTAGGCCCAAAACCGGAAGTAGGCCCAAAAAGGTCAGTTGGGAACGGGATTCCCCCCACCCCCCGCCAGCTAGCTGGCCCACGGCAGGCAACAGCCTGGGGAACCGAGGATTCCCCTGCTCCTACCGGGGGGGGGGGGCTGGCAACCCTACCCATCCAACTACTAACCAGGGCCAACCCCATTTAGCTACCAAGGTCTGATGAAATCAGGCTAGCCTGAGCGTATCCAGGTCAGTGCAGAGACATACAGAGGTGGTTCGCCATTGCCTACCATTGCGCAGCAACCCTGAACTTCCTTGGTGGTCTCCCATCCAAGTACGACCCAGGGCCCACCCTGCTTCGCTTCGGAGATCTGATGACACCGGGCTGGCCTCAGCCATCCAGGTCAGGGAGACCCAAGCATAGAGGGCTTTAAAAGGGGACTTGGGTTTACTCAGGAGCAGTCCCTCCGTGGCTAATGCACATGATGACCAAAGGGAACCTCCGCCTCCAGAGGGAGTCAACCTCTCATTACCAGTCATAGGAGGCGACATGAAGGGAAGGCTTTGCCTTTTGTTTTCATTGGCCTTCCAGGCCATCTGTTCGGCCACTGTGTGAAACAGAACGCTTGACCAGATGGACCACCAGTCCGATCCAGTGGCGCTCCTCCAATGTTCTTATGTCAACTGAGCTCCTTTAAGTACACCCAAACTGGTGTCCTAAATCGAGGCCAGGGAATGAATCAGGGACCTTCCCCATGTAAGACATGAGCTGGCTCTACCTAATCCGCCACAGATAAAAAAATTTTACACCCAATAATAGCCCGTACCTTGACTTTCAAATTCACCTTAGCAGTTCACTATGTCAGCTAGCTTACCACATATCATTCTTTTCCTTTCTAAGAATCCTTTGTGCAAACGGTCAAAGAAGTCCCCGTCTTCCCAGAAGCTAACAAAAGGCCTAGAAGCCAAGGAGAGGGAATTAAGTTCAGCCTAAAACGCCACGTTAACTTTTACATGTATTTCAATTTTCTTGCCTTTAACCGATGCTATTAGATACACATCCTTTTTAATTACTTCCATTGGAGCTTAACTGCCAGTAGTCACGCGCCTGTAATCTGTCCCCCCACACACAAACCTTTTATCTCTCCCCCCCCCCTTTCGCACGACAAAAAACGTTATGCAAATCTGGCCAGTTTAATTACTCTTTTGCCAGAGCAAAACAATCCCTCCAGCTTTCGCTGTTTTGTTGACCCTAGATTTCTCGTGCATTACCAACCCGTCCCACAGGAACAAATAAATAATTAGAAATTAAAGGGCATTAAGCAATTTTGCACTGAAGAGCAGAAAAGGGCGGTTTTCACATATTAGATTAAGCTGATGGTGCTGAGTTGGTCCGATTTTTTCAGGGGCGTTTAAGGGGAGCGAGGCCGATGGTGACTTCTCGTTCGATTTACGAAGTTAGGGAAAGCGCCATGTAAGAATATGGCACAGAAATGCAAGCAAGGTCCAAGACTCATTGTTGGTAACTCTCCTGTGCATTACGTGGAGACTCCGCAAACATACCGGGTGCCTTAAGATTACGTTTACCAGGCTCTCAGTTATAGTGGGACATCTCCCCCCCCACCCCCACTAATGCCTGCTGCCATTCAGCTGGGGGGGCAGGAGGAAGCCAGCTGGAGAAATGGGGAGGAGGTTCAGCTGTTGTCTCTGATGCAATGACACAACTTCTGGCATGACCTGGAAGCAATGTCATTTTGCCGGGGGAGGGGGATGCTTTAGCACTCGCCTCAAACTCTATCGTTTCCATAATTTTTTGAGCCAGTTGCCCCCCAGCATGATTACATCACTTGCTGGTAACAACGGAAGTTGTATCATCGTGTTGGGGATGACAACTGCTCTCCCATAAGTTCCCATCTTTCCCACTGCTTGCCAGTTTTTGTAAGTTCCCGCCTCCCCCATCTCCTGTTGTTTGCTGGGCAACCCTAATTTGGATGTCCTGTCAAGCAGACATAAAGCTGGAATGTGTATGCGTTTGTGTCAGGGTTGCCCGTGTTCATCCTTCCTCCTCCCTCCCTTCTCACACAGGGTGTAATGAAGGAATCCTGCTTTAAGACTTCAATTACCCACTTCTGAAAGGAACATTTGTTGACTGCACAATTGTGCAAGGTTGTACGTGTGCAGCATACGTGGCTAGAATGCATATGCACATTTTCCTTGCAACATCAGCACCGTTATCATTTATTCGTTTACGGCAACTTTAGCGCACCTTTTTCCTTTAAAAAAAGGAGTCAAGGTAAGTTGCTGTTTTCAAAATTCTAATTAAAGCTGGCACGTAAACACAGAAGAACACACTTTGGGGCAAACAGAAAACCTTTAATTCCTGGGAGTCCCATTTAAATAATTCAGTTTTGTACTACCATCAAAATGCCGACCATGAGGGGCCTTCCTGGCCTTCACTGTAACCCAACTTTATTTATTTGTTTGTTTGCTCAATTTCTATCCCGCCCTTCCGCCGAAGCGACTCAGGGCATCTTTTTTAGGAGAAAAGAGGGGTTGGGAAGACTGCAGTCCATAAACATGCCGCAAATTAAGTCCAAAATATAGAAGAATGTCACTCTAATGCTCGCTAGAATTAGATAGACATCTCCCTGCAAGTGCTTGATATGGGTTTTGTCTCTAGTTTAGTGACAGAGATGAATTGTGGAACTGGGGAGTTCTGTATTCAGGATGCCAACCTCCAGACAGGGCCTGGAAGTCTCCTGATTTACAACTGAACTTCACATTACAGAGATTTCTTCTGAGAAAAATGGCTGCTTTGCAGGGTGGACTCTGCGGCATTATGCCCTGCTGAGGTCCCTCCCCTCCCCAGCTACACCCCCAAATCTCCAGGAATTTGTGAACCCAGATTTGGAAACCCTAAAACTCCCCCAGTTCAAAACAAAGCCCACCCTGCTAAAACCAAGCCTAAACAAAGTTCAGGCCCAGCTCCTACCGAGTTTGTCGCTGTTCCTACCAGTCAGTCATCCCTGTCAGTTCCCCCCTTCCCAAGCACAATTACCCTTTTGAAGGGACAGGAAACAGTGGTAAGGAGGGCTCACTAGAGAAAAATAAGAAGACTCACAGGTTTCATTCATACGACTCTTCAGCATCACATCCCATCACGAGGATGAGTTAACTACTGTGATGCAGCAGCAAAAAGGGCAAATGCAATCTTAGGGTATATCAGTAGACACATAGTGTCCTAGGACATGAGATGTGATAATACCACTGTATACTGCACTGTTCACACCCCATTTGGAGTACTAGGCCTTCTTATTGGAAGGACATGGAAACTTTAGAACAGGGCAAAGGAGAGCGACGAGGATGATTAGGGGTTTGGAGATTAAGCCTTACAAAGAACAGCTGCGGGAACTGGGAACGTTCAGTCTGGAGAAGAGGAGGTTGAGGGGGAATATGATTATTCTTTTCAAGTATCTGAAGGGCTGTCATTTAGAGGAGAGCAGGGAGCTGTTTCCATTGGTACTGAAGGACAGGACTCATACTCATGGATTTAAATTACAGTTGTGGCAATACTGGCAGGATATAGGGCTGTCAGCCCCCCCCCCCATAGAGGTGGCGGTCCCCCACTGGTCCCCCACTGCCAGCCCCCCCAGTTACTGGCTGGCAGGAGGACTTACCAGGGGAGAGAAGGAAGCCCAGGCTATGACGCCAGCGACATGGTGACGTCACTTCCAGTATGCACTGGAAGAGAATTCATCACGTCAGGGACATCCAGACAACACTTTGGTATTTGGAAAAAACTTGATGGCAGAAGCCATGTTTACCATAGAGTTTTTGCTCAAATGTCAGAACACTGCCACGATGGCGCAACATGATGACATCACTTCCAGGTAACCTCAACTGGTTATGGGCCCAGCAGTGACATAGCCACGTCACCAGCGACGTCGCCTGGGCCTCCCTTCCGCTCCTGGTAAGTCCCCTCATCTTTCCGCAAAATAAAAACTTTTTTAACAATAAAGGCAGTCCAGTGGTGGAACTGACGGCCTCGGGATGTGGTGGGTTCTCTCTCTTTGGAGGTGTTAATACGAGGTTGGATGATTATTTGTCAGGGTTGCCTTAGGTCAGGGGTGTCGAACTCATTTGTTATGAGGGCCGGATCTGACATAAATGAGACCTTGTTGGGCTGGGGCCACGTGTGTCATAAAATGAATTGCCAAGTAGTGGAGATATAAACTTTATAAAGAACACAAACACAAAGGGTATTTTTTTTACTTAAAATAAAAACATGCTTAAAACATTAGCACTCATGCAATATTTTGTTTATTTAACAGTGTCTAATAACTGACACCTCTTGCTCTGAATTCTTGCATCAAAATGTCTGTGCTGTTGCAGTCTTGAGTATGCTGTTCAGGTGTGTATCTGTAAGCTGCAAACCTACGATGACGCAGCAGCAGCAAAACTGGAAGAAGAAGCAGAAGACAGGCAGTTCCACTGCAGGCCCGATAGAAGCCCTCCGAGGGCTTGGTCTGGCCCCTGGGCTGCATGTTTGACACCCCTGCTTTAGGACATCCTGTGTAAGTCGAGGGGTTAGGCCTCTTCCAACATTTTCGTTCTATGCCGGGGTCATTTTGTAGAAAAAGAGGTGCAGGAGCTCATTAGCATAACTCATTAGCATAACTTATTTGCATATGCCACACACCCTGACATCACTGGAAGTGTGTCAGAAGGCAACACCCACCGCTCAGGCTCCACTGGACTGTTTTGGATTGCTAGCTATTGGGGGGGGGGAAGGAACGTGCAGATCTGTCCTCGCAGAGGAGGGAGAGCCTGTACCTGAATAAAACTTGGTCTTAAAGCTGCCACTGGACTGTTTTGGACCGGGGGGAGCTCTGCAACTTACCTGGCTGCTTCTTGCTGTGACTGAGGGCTGCTGGGAGCAGGGGGTGGGGCTTGTTGCATGTGCCCACCCCCTGGGCTCTTTACTGCCAGAGCTCCGCTCCTGTGCGCTCCTGCAGGAAATGACCCCTGGTTCTATGACATCTATGACAACAGGGTGCATTACCTGGGGGCTGTCATTTCCTGTGCTCCCTGATTCAGTGATGAAAGTCAGGAGGCCTCAATAAAAATTAAGTTCTGTATAACCTAGCACAAAATTATACTCCTCAGTGAGCCCAGAAGTATCCTGAATTTGGGGATGGGGCCAAGGAGTTCTTCCCCTTCTCCTTCCTCTTCCCCCTTTGAAAAATAAGTTTGCTGGGGAGAGAAAAGAAAAAGCAAGGAGCACTGGAGGTAAACTCCCCAGGACTGGGTAAGTCCCAGCTTCCTTGGAAAAAGTGGATCCATGATGAACTGAGCCTGACCTTCACTGAAGGAAGGGCAGGCAAGAACTCCAATCTGACTCAATGCCACAGCCAGGAGAGCACGCCTCTTCATGTTCAAGCCCAGGAGAGCACAAACTGCATGGCTAACTGAAGCATCGAAGCCGCACCCTGGCCACCAGGGTTGCCAACCTTCAGGTGATACCTGGAGATCCGGAATTACAAAAGATCTCCATACTACTGGTATTAGTTTCCTGGAGGAAACGGCTGCTTTGGAGGGTGGACTTCATGGCATTTATATAGTCCCTCCCCTCCCCAAAAACCATTCTGCCCAGGCTCCATCCCCAAATCTCCATGAATTTCCCAACCCAGAACTGGCAACCAAACTGGCCACTCGTGACCTGTTGCGTTTGGCTTGCCACAAACCACAAGTCCAGCTTCCTCCTGAGATATCAGACAAGTTACGGTCAGCTGAGTAACCCACTGCTGTGACTCAGATGCTGGTGCAGGACAGAGTTGTCTGGAGGCGGCAGAGGTGGACGAACGGGCAATTTTGTTTGATTAAGTGCTTTGCTTTGAATCGATAAGACTGTGCAACCTTGACCCTTCCTTGTGCAGCAACACTTGCAGAATCATCTAC